CAATAGACAATCTTTATCTATGAGCAAGTTATGCCAAAATCTGTGGGACTGCCTTTTATTTAGATATTCTTCACATTTTTATCCGTTTTCCTCTAGGAACTCAAAGTAGTTTTTATAAATCTTCTGTTTTCACCCACACAATTCTATTCCGGGTTTTGAACTGGATTCAGATTCCAACCCAGGCATGGAAATTCACTGGGGGAGTGGAACTGCTAAAATCACTTCTTAAACGCCCCACTGTGAGGGTCGCTAGAAATCTGTTCCAACTAGACAGCACAGAATAAGCAGGCAGACAGGTATGTTCGCCTCTTGCAGCCAAAGCAACAGAGCCCTGTGGCACCCTTAAGACTGAAAAGTTTTATTTGGCACAAGCTTTTGCAGACTTTAGCCCACTTCAGATGCTTCAGGCAATCCATATGTTCTTCTTTAGAAGCAAAAAAATCACAAAACAAAAAAAACCAGTCGCTTCTAATCAGGCAGGATCCGGTCCACTGCCAATTGAATAACATTTATTGACTTTTAAAGTGGAAGAAGACTCTTGTTGGACCCTAAAGCCTCCGCGTTCCAACTTCTCCCCTCCCTTAGCAACGCCTCTTCCAGCCGAACTCGGCAACAATTTTTTGATTGGACAACTCTCCAGACTTTAGACCAATCAGGAGGAGCCACGGGACCCTCTCTTTTTTTCCCCCCTCCAGCCGGGCGTTGGAAGACAACACGAAGCCGAGCTGTTTTGGACTGTACCATGTGGTCCCTTGAAAGGGGGGGGAATAGTAGAAAAAAAAGGAGAGATAGAGGCGGAGGAAACGAGACCCAGGCATTGAGAACGGCTTTATTTTTAAAAAAGGCTTTTTAAAAAGAACCAGTCAGCCTCAGTTTGGGTGAGGAGGCGAAGAAGAAGAAGAAAATAAAGTCCAGGGACAGACTCTTGGTACTTCCCAACAGGAAGTGAGGTGTCTCTTGAGCGTCGGGACTTCCGGTGAAGGGGGAGAAGAGACGACTTAGTGGAGGCGGAAGAGGGGGAAGGGGTTTTTCCGGGGCCAGCGGTTGTGGGTGAGTTATGGGGCCGGGTGTGTGTGTCAAAGTGTGGGGAGGAGAGGGTTAGCTGGCCCCTTGGTGGCTGCCCTAGGGATGGGAAGGGGGGGGGGAACACAGCTCGGTCCCTTCCCCTCTGCGAGGTTTCCTACCTGAAACGTGTCTAAAACCCGGGACAAGGGTGCACGCATTCACACGTGTACACGGGATGCAGGCCTAGTGGTCTGCCCACACGTGGCTGCTGTACGTAGGAGCCTGTGGGAGGTGAACGCTTGCCACGAAGTGGGGAGGAAGACCCAGGTGAATGTCAACGTAGCCGCTCAGAGTGGTCGACTAGACAGACCAGATGGGCGGGATATAAATCAAATAAATAAAAAATAAATAAAATAATCCTCCTCTTAGAACTGCAGAGCAGGGAGGGACCCCCAAAGATCATCAAGTCCAACCCCTGCCAAGGAGGCCCGTTGGGGGGAATTGAACCTCTGGCTCTGCAGGCAGAATATCTAAACCACGGAGGTATCCAGATGTATTCGCGAAGGCTTTCACGGCCGGGATCTAATGGTTGTGGGGGTTTTCGGTCTCTTTGGCCGTGTTCTGAAGGTTGCCCTTCCTGACGTTTCATCAGTCTCTGTGGCCGGCCTCTTCAGAGGACAGGAGTAGGAACAGAGCATGGACAGAGTTCCGACTCCTGTCCTCTGAAGATGCCCATGGCCACAGAGACTGGCAAAACGTCAGGAAGGACAACCTTCAGAAGATGGCCAAAGAGCCCGAAAAACCCACAACAACCATTAGTATCCAGATGTGCTGGCTAAACTACTATTGTGTGGAGGTGGCTGATAAAATTTTTTTTGCAGAACAGTACCCACAGAACCCTTGCCTTAGCAGGCTGGTAAAAGAAAAAATAATAGTAACATAAAATGTAAAACATTGCAGCCCTTTAAAGTTTTATTTTGGTATGATCTTTGGGGGTGGGGGTGGGGTTTCAAATCCACTTCCCCACGCATTTGACTTGAGGAGGTCAATTTGGGTCCAGGAAAGCTCAAGCTAAAAGGGTTAGGCTTTAAAGTGCTATAATTTGTTTTTATTTTGCCAAAGTTATGTGTTCCTGAAACAGATGTTAGAAGGCCCTGACCAGTGACAAGTTCAACCTTTCTGTTATTCTTTTGCTGTTGTTACCCAGAGTGGATCTTTTTTCTCACCTATTGCAACAAAAATAAGAGAGAGCTTTGAAGTCCTGTAAAGACTCATCAGTTATTTGGCCTGTGTGTTTGTAGGCTTCAGTCACTTCTTCCAGCTGCAGTGCATGAAAGTTTATGCCAAAAAAGGAGAGGCTTTAATATGCCACATGATTGTTTTTGTTAGTACTGTGTTCATGTGCACATGACTTACAATGCACACATCTGTGGCACCTTAAAATATTTATATTAGAATGGTTTTGGAGTGATATCAGTATACAGCTTGTGTGTGCCAATGGCTTTTTGTGACTTGTTTTGTTGTAATGTTTGTCGAGAGCTTGCTGGGTTAGTCAACATAATTATTTTCCGTGGTGCAGATTGTGTGGGTTCTGAAAGATGTGCATGTTTTAAGTTGTTTTAAGCAACAAATAGAGAAATTTGGTACCCCCAAATGTTTTGAATTTCAGCTCCAAGAAGTATCAGCCAATCTGGCTAATAGTAAAGAGTGATGATAGTCACAGCCCAATACATCTAGTGGGCTAAAAGTTTCTCACTCCTGCTTAAAGACAGAATAAGTTAAGGATGGGGATGAATGCCATATTGCTCCAGGCATCCTATGTGTTTCTATGCTTGTGAATAAGCAATGTGATGTAGCTTCTCAAGATTGCTGTAGGCTTATGGATGGAGGTGGAAACTTTGGCCCTCTAGATACTCAGGTGTTTTTGAACTGCAACTCCTAGAAATCCCAGCCAGTACAGCTGGTGGTGAAGGCTTCTGGGAGTTGCAGTACAAAAACACCTGAGTAACCCAAGATTAAGAACCGCTGCTCTAGATTAGGGATTCCCGAGCTTGAGTCTCCAGATGTTTTTAGACTACAACTCCCAGAAACCCTGGCTAGCTCAGCTAGTGGGGAAGTCTTCTAGGAGTTTTAGTCCTTAGAACATCTGGGGACCCAAGGTTGAAAACAGCTGTTCTAAATATTTACGTTCAAGTCCAAAAAAAACCCATAGGGGGTAGTGGGAGCTGAAGCCTAAAGCATCTGGAAGTACCTAACTAATAAGCCAGGCTTTATGAACAGATGCAAATGCAGGTTTATAGATGGTACTCAGTCAAAAGCACAGAATAATTCATATTTGACTCTCATGAGAAACTCAATTTTGCAATTGTTTTACCTGCCTGTGCCCTGGAAGGAGCTTCAAAACTACCCACTGACTTCAGAAAAGAACTGAACTTTTAACCTGGGTGTTCCTGATTCAAAGCTGGGTCACCCAGAGGGTAGACTGTGTCTCAAGTGATGTAGTTGACTGACACTCGATTGCATGGCTGGTAAAACAAGGATAGAAATAGCAGGAAATTAATACCACTGTATCTTGCTTTTCCAAAATGTGATGGAGGGAGAGTGCACATCTCTCTCTCTCTCTCTCTCGCTCTCTCTTTTGGTTTTGATATTTTTATTTCAGATTGTATCTTGTTTCCCAAAAGTGGTTTCAGGGTGTACTCGAGATAAAAAAATGTTTATAAAATAATAGCAGAAGCAGTAGATTGGAATTACCAAATTACAGCATGCTTTTCAGTGTTTTGATAGAGGCAGAGGTGTGAGCTGGGCATCCAGATGTTGTGGGATGGCATCTCCTATCAGCCTGAACCAGCAGAGCCATGTTTGGGGGAGATGATGGAAGTTATAGTCAATAATCTTTTTGAGTATGCTGAGATGCCCACCTCTGATGAATCACAAACTCCAGGAAAAAGTATAAAATGGTTACAGGATGCTTCTGGAGCACATGACTGAGATTTCCAGTAGCCATTGTAGTGACATTTCTAACCCTTATAAATATTGTTTATTTGATGCCATTGATCGACATTGTGCTTTACAAAGAACGGATGGACAGATCTCTGACCATTAGGAGCTGTCGGTGTATAAAAACAGACCACAAACCAGATGGGGCAGCTTCATAGTTCCAAGAGAGGGGCACTACACTTCAGAGTGTAAAATTCTGTGAGTAAACAGAGGACTGTTTGTTTATTTTATTTAGAGAATTTATATCCCACCTTATAGCCAGATAAATCCTCAGGACAGTTTACGAAGTTAGGATTAGATAATTTGCAGGAATTACTGCTTATAGATCAGGGGTCTTCAACCCCCTGGTCTGTAGCCCAGCGCCAGTCCGCGGATGCGGATCTCCACCCCACCGCCCGCATGTGCGTGCGGTGGGCGTGTCACGCTCACGCAAAAAGGTTGGGGACTGCTGTTCTAGATCACTGGTTCTTAACCTTGGGTTACTCAGGAGTTTTGGACTGCAACTCCCAGAAGCCTTCACCACCAGCTGTGCTGACTGGGGTTTCTGGGAATTGCAGTTCAAAAGCATCCGAGTAACAAAGGTTAAGAACCACTGTTCTAGATGATAGCAGAGATGATGGTGATGTTCTGCTTTTCTCCTTTTTTTTCCTGTTGCCTTCGTCCCTCACTTGTGAGCTGCCTGCTAGTGTTTGGAAGACCCGGGCTGCCACTATCAGGAAGCAGAGTGAGGCAGCAGCCCCTTACTCTCTGCTGGATAGCTCAGTGGTTTAGATCTCTCGTTGCAGAGCTAGAGGTTGGGGTTCAATTCCCCCACTGAGCCTCCTAGACAGGGCTGGACATGATGATCTCTGGGGTCCCTTCCAGCTCTGCACTTCTAAGCTTATTAGTATTCTTATTGTCTGAGCTGCCTTCATTTGGAGAAGGTGCAGACATCCATGTGGAAGTAAGACTCATGGGGAGTCCAATGGGCTATTTTGTCTTTTGCCTCGGGCAGTAAAATGTCCAGAACAAGCTTAAACCTGAATGCAGAAGCATTTCTGATTTCTTTCAATGTAATTCCCCTCTTATGCTACTTTCTTAACACATTCTTGAGTACTTTTGACACTGGCTTTTCCACCAGAGGTCACTCTCTGAGCGTGTTGCTTTAAGCCTACTGTGTGTTCAGTTGACCACAACAGTTCTCTTTTAACGGTTTCTGCTTATTCATTTTTTTTTAGTCTCACCATGCAAATGGTCGTATCTATTTATAGGGGAGCAGTATGTGCATATTTTAGACAAATATTTAAACTTTAATGCCAGCATCCGTGCTTCAAGAAGAATCTTGCACAGTTTCTTATTTCTGCTACCTGTTACCAAGCCTTGGATCTTCATTGGACATAGCAGCTCTGCATGAATCATAGTATCGGAAGGAGCCTATAGGGTCACCGGGTGCAACCCCGTGCTCAAGGCAAGAATCGTCATCAAAGCCGATCTGAAAACTGGTTGTCCAACTTTCTCTTGAATGCCTCCAGTACTGGAGCACTCACATTCTCCCGAGTTCATTAGTTCCCTTGTCGTACTGCTCTAACAGACTTAGCTGAAACATATCACGTTTTTTTATTTGAATTGAAATGTGCACTATAATTTGTATAGCCAGGAACTAGAGTCCCATCTTACATTAAAGGGAGTAAATTCTGTTAAGGTTTTTTTTTAAGCTGAGGTTCAATGGACACTTATCCGGGATAAGCTTTTGCCGTGGATTTCCTGTACTAGCAGGGAGCTAAACTTGTTAACCGTTAGGACCTCTTCCTGCTCTACAGTTCTGTGGCTTTGTTTCCGAAGGGTCAAACCAGCTCGCTTCCAGAGTTGGATTCTCCTGGATCTGCATTGAATATTTTTAGTGGCAGCCTCTCTTCTGAAACTGTTTGGCACTTGAAGCTGTCAAGCACAGCTGAAACTAAAAACAGTCTTGGCTCTGAAATGAAATTGCATGCCATCTTGAAAGCAGGTTTCTTTTCTTGAGCTTGGTTCACATTTCAGTCTGCCTGGTCGCCGTACCTAGAGTTGAGAAAAGGAGTCTCCCACCCTCTGTGGACCATGTGGCCTCCATTCCCAATTTACAAGATTCTGGAATGAAATTCCCTTCAAGTTACATACAGTGGACCCTCTACTTAAGGAATTAATCCGTATTGGAATGGTGGCTGCAAGTCGAAAAGTCTGTAAGTCGAGCCGTCTGTAAGTCGAGGGTCCACTGTACTGTAAATCTTGCTGAGTAGAAGCTTGGTTTTCTGAATGCTATCCAGGGATGCTGTGAGAATTGCTATGTTTGGGCCTCTTTGGGAAGTAGTTCTCCAAGGAGTAGAGATAAGCTGTAGGTTTAGAAGTTCCCTTGCAACCCAACTGCTGAAAGAGTCTTACTGTGTATTCCATATTGTCTTTGCACCCATCAAATTTCTTTCAATTCCCTTGTCACAACAGTTACATTCCAAGAATGGAACGATTGAGTTCCTTTGCATAAACAGGGTGGAGTTGGTTGTGCTAAAAAGCGCTGAATTCAGCATTCAGAAATTCGAATGATCACTTTTCCTAAGAAAACCAAGTTTAAACCCCCCTTCGTTCCCATGATCAGCTTGAAAACACGGGAGGAGTGCTTGTTAAAATCTCCAGTGATGATGATCTGAGTAAGAATCTTTGGTGGGGAGGAGTGGCTACTGTAATGCATACAGTAAACTTGGGAAGCTGACCGTTAAGGAAAAAATTACCCCAAAGAATTCAGAACTCAATAAATCCAACAGACATGTGACCACTTTTATAGTGTATTGTACCTTTTTGTTACTCATATCAATAAAACCTCACCCCAGTCTCCCACTTCATTATGGATTGATGTTTATGAATAAGTCTTCCGCTACCTGTTCTTTATTTGTGTTGAAACCCTTGTTAAATAAGTTCTTCCTTGACCATTCGGAGCTGGATATTAAAAGTTAGTTGTATGTGTGAGAACCAGGCCCTTTGGGAGAGAAAGAAGCCTGTGTTTTCTGAGAAGAGATTATTTTACCCCATTAAAAATACCCTTTTATGCAAACATAGTGGGGGTTTGCACGTTATTTGGCTACTATAAAAGGGGGTTCTGACTTGAAAAGGTTGGGAATCCCTGGAGTCTCATATACGTAATGAATTTTCATTATTTTTCTATCTTCCTTATGGATATTGTTATGATTTTTAAAGCATCAATAAAAATATTTTCTAAAGAGCTGGCATATTAATAATTAATTTTTATTTATTACTATTGGTGCTTATTTTTTTATATCCTATCCTTTTCCCACAGGAGCTTGGGCAGACTAACAATCTATTTAAACCATAAAACTAAAAATTGAAAACTACAAAAGAAGCCAGGGCTTCTTCTCAGGGTTCATAGTAGAAGGAAAATTAGGCTTGTAAAATAAGTACAGGTTCAAAATGTCCTTCTATCCCGCCTTTATTGGGGGGAATGGTGGTCAGAATTTGGTTTTCCTCGTTGCAGAATTTATGGGCCGTGCCGAAATTGGATGGCCCAGAAAAGGATGTTTCCGAAATTGTTGGCCCAGAAAAAGTATTTTAAAGCCCATTGGCTAATCCATGAATGAAAGGTGAAGAATCCCCCAGTTAGCACAGTGAGAATATTCTGAGATTCGTAGTCTCACAAATAGATTAACAAGTCGGCAAAGAGTTTGCGTACAGATGGCTGAGAATAACGACATGGAAGCACTGGACCATTAGAATGCAAATAGGGTGGCTTCTCATGTTCTATGTTTGTTTTCTTCACCTCCGCTGCTGTTGCCACCTCTAACCCAGCTGTCGTCTTCCACAGTTTGCCGGCCTTGGGACCTGTGGGGAGATGTTTCGAACGGCCATCATGATGGCTGGCAGCCTGGCTTTGACCTCCGCGGTGGTGGCTCACGCCTATTATCTCAAGCATCAGTTTTACCCGACCGTGGTGTACCTGACCAAATCCAGCCCAAGCATGGCGGTAAGTACGCGCAGCTCGGTAGCCTCAAGTAGGGGGTTTTATGGCGTTGCTGTGGTCCATTTACAGTTGCACCATCAAAGAGGCCAGTCAGAATTCAAGAATCTGGCGTAAGAGGAGGGGGGGATCCTCTCCAACCCAAGGACTCAGTTTAGTTCCCGAAACCTATGTGGCTTCTTCGGGCAACAAGGCTGAAGGCAAAGCAGTGGGACCCCCCCCAAAAAAGCCAGCGTATTTTAACTTCAGGTTTTTGCTGGCCTTTGGAGAGACTTTTCAGCTGTTCCAGAATATGGAATTTTCTGTACAGAAGCTTGAACAAGTCTGTGGTGCCATGGAAGGATTTGAGGGTGGGTGGGTACTGCCAACTGGAGAAGCTGCTGTCCTAACCAGGGTGGACTCATTGATCCATGAGATTTAAGTATGTTGATTTACCAGTTGGATTCAGTCGGTCTTCTCCAGCTGAGATTAGCATTTAGATGCAGTCTTAGAATAGAAGTGCTGGATAGCTCAGTGGTTTAGGTATCGAACTGTGGAGCCAGAGGTTTGGAGTTCGATTCCCCTCCTTGGAAAAAGTTGGGCTCACTGATCCATAGGGTCCTTTCCAGCTCTGCATTTCTAAGATTATTATGATATTATTATAATAGGCGTAGAGGAAATGTGTTTAAGCTGCAATGCCTATCAGCCTTGGTGCGGCCAATGGCTTGGTGTGGCCAGTGGCTTCCAAAAATAGTTTGGAAGGCACCAGTTTATTTATTTGTTATGTTGATTGTCAGCATCAATACACAGTTTAGGGCTGTTGAGGTTCCAACATCGATGTCCCATTCAAAAAGAGAGGGCGTAGCTGTCCATGGTCGTCTGGTTTCAGGATCTGGATCAAGCTTTCTAATTGGTCACCCTCCAGTTCTTGTTAGACGTCACTTCCACCATCCCTGACTTACTGGCCTGGGGCTCATGGGGTTTGTAGTCTGGTGTATCTGCTGTCTTAAGGAATGAGGCAATTGGAGATTTCTCTCCATGTCTGCCGGTTTCTGCTCTGGGGATTCCGTTGCAGACTGGAAGGAAACAATCTTTGGGCAGGAACGGCTGGGAACTGTCCTTCTATATTAGAGGCGAGTTTCCTTCAGAGACGGTTGCTTGAAATGCCTTCTCCCTCTTTGCCATTTCTCTGTTTGCCTCGCCAGGTGCTGTACATCCAGGCCTTTGTGTTGGTGTTCCTGTTGGGCAAATTTATGGGGAAAGTGTTTTTCGGGCAGCTCCGAGCAGCAGAAATGGAGGTAAGCCTCGCGGAGGGAAAATTGGAATAAGCCTCAGGTCTCGTTCTTGTGGGACACTGTGAGGGTTTTACTGAAAACATTGGGCATCGTGAGGAAGGGCTTCAAAAGCTCCTTTAAAAAACAACAACTCTGGCAGCATCTCCACTTATCGTGAAGGCGAACAGTCTTTTTTTCCTCACATTGTTCCGTTCACGATGGAGGTCTTCATTGGCCGTCTCAGAGGCTGCAGTAAAGTGTCGGGAGAGAGAGCTTCACGCCACAAAGAAAGCATTAAACAGAGAGATAAATTTGGTCTCAAAAGGCCTCTCTTTGTTATCCTCTCCTTGATCCAGCGAGCTGAGGGTGGCGTACGTTCTCTTCAACAGCCCTGTGAGGTGGGCCAGGTTGAGATTGGCATGAAAAATCATCCAGGGCGTTTCACAGATTGGGAATTGGTGGGTGGTTGCAGGGTGGACTAGAAGTTGGATTTTCCCAAGCCCAGCTCTCTAATCCCGACATCCTCCTGACTCCTTCCTAAAGGCAGTGTCTTTCCCTGGAGGCAAGGAGGGCTGAGGCCCTTGGAGTGAGGGGCGCAAGGGGAGGGTCCTGGAATCAGAGAGAGCGCCTTAAACCCATCTCTCTTGCGCAGCATCTGCTTGAGCGGTCATGGTATGCCGTGACCGAGACCTGCCTTGCCTTCACAGTCTTCAGGGATGACTTCAGCCCACGCTTTGTGGCTCTCTTCACCCTCCTCCTCTTCCTGAAATGCTTCCACTGGCTCGCCGAGGACCGGGTGGACTTTGTGAGTACGAGGGGGCGAAGCTGTGGTTGGTGCGGAAAGACGTTGGGATCTGGGAGGAAGGAGAGAGAGAGAGAGCCTGTGCCCCCTTAGTGCAGTGCACAACCCTGCTGTGGGAGGGGGGGGAGCAATAGGATAAAAACGCATCAAGCATGCATCGGTTAAATAAAACCAATAAGCAGCACACAAGACAGGACAAGCTAAAACGCAGCACGAGGCAGGTAGCAAGCAGAGCAGCAGAAAAGCACATCAGGCGGGAGTTGCCGGAAAAGGCCTGTCTATAAAGCAACTGTTTTCAAGGGTCTTTTAAACATTGGGAGGGAGGCAGCCAGGCGAAGTTCCACCAGCCGGTGATTCCAAAGTGTTGGCGCCACTGCAGAAACAATAGGATAAAAACACAGCAAGCATGAATCGGTTAAATAAAATCGATAAGCAGCACACAAGACACGAGACAGGACAAGCTAAAACGCGGCACGAGGCAGGTAGCAAGCAGAGCAGCAGAAAAGCACATCAGGCGAGAGTTGCCGGAAAAGGCCTCTCTATAAAGCAACTGTTTTCAAGAGTCTTTTAAACATTGGGAGGGAGGCAGCCAGGCGAAGTTCCACCAGCCGGTGATTCCAAAGTGTTGGCGCCACTGCAGAGAAGGCCATGCTCCTACTAGATGACTTCCTGGCAGAGTCAATCGTGCAGTTCATTTCAGCCGTATGGGCTGCATTCTGCATTATCCAGTGGGCTTTGCGCGCATGTTCATATTTGCATACACATCTTACTCTGGTCGCCCAGTCCCTCTTTCTCCCTTGCGCACAGACATATAGTAGCACATTCATATCTCCTGGCAGCTTCCAGAAAGGTTCCTGATTATCTGCCACCGCTAGCAGCAGATACAGTGGGGCCTTCCGATCTGTAGGATCAATATCCGCTGATTTATCCATGATCTCTAAATATTAAAGGAAAAATCCTCAAAATATATTAACAATTAAGTTAGCAGAACCGGTCACTAGAGGAAGCAGGAGGCCATGCTATGTATAAGCATTTGCTGTTTATAATGACGTTTGTTATAATCCAGCCTCTGGGACAGGAGACTTGGAACCGATTATCTGTAGATGCAGGGGTTCTCCTGTAAACAGCCACAGAAGCAAGGGAAGACCTTCCCACCCATGCCCCCCCTGACCCGTATCTTCTTGAAGATCAGCTCCCATCTACTAGCTGACCTTCCCACCCATGCCCCCCCCCGACCCGTATCTTCTTGAAGATCAGCTCCCATCATTCTTCATCGCTGGTTCTGCTGGCTTTGGCTGATGGGAGTCATATGCTAAAAAACATCTGGAGGGGCACATTCCCCCCCCTTCTCTGGAGGAAGTGGAAAATTTAACACTGTGGTGTCCACCCCAGGTCAGGAATATTGAAATGGTATTTGCATAGATAATGGGAGTGCTGGAGAGGCGGAGTCACGAGATACAAGAGACTGAGCAGGAAGAGGGGAATTTAGATAGGGAGTTTGAGAGAGAGTTGAAGCTCTTGAAGGGTTCTGGAGTTTGGGCTGGAGAGTGGTGATTGAGAGGAATAAAGGAGAATGTTTGTGTAAGAATGAACAACATTGCTTATCTGTAACAAACAATTTCTATATGGTTCTTTTAAAATGACATACGGCCTGGGCCTCGATAATTAATAATAGGTAAGGTTGATGTAATCAACTGGTGGCAGCTGAAGGGCACGCGGTGTACATTCTTTGTTTGGTGAAACAAGCAGGGGCCACGTGGGAATCGTGACAAACACCAACCTTTTGAAAAACCCGATCGAAGTTCCTAGCTCACCAAAAAAACCTAGAGTAGCCTATCGTCCACCCCAGGTCATGAATATTGAAATGATATTTGCATAGATAATGGGGGTGCTGGAGAGGTGGAGTTACGAGATACAAGAGACTGAGCAGAAAGAGGGGAATTTAGATAGGGAGTTTGAGAGAGAGTTGAAGCTCTTGAAGGGTTCTGGAGTTTGGGCTGGAGAGTGGTGATTGAGAGGAATAAAGGACTCACCAAAAAAACCTAGAGTAGCCTATGTTTCCATGTTGGCCATAGAGGAGGGGAAGCCCGCTGGTTCCATGATGGCGAAGAAATCAGGATCCTGGTTCTCTTGGAAGGCAGTTTTCCAAAAAGATTTGTCTGCCAGGGAGAGACTGGTAGGACCGGCAGGACAATATTTGCCCCGCACTCCACCCTGCGTCGTCATCGGTCCCTCCTCTGCCAGCCCACATGCCTCCTTCCCTGCATGGGATCTCTTCTGGGCCATCCTTGTGGCAACCGGGCAGTTTCTTAAAGAAGAGGCTATTGCCAAAGGGGTCTCTGGCTTTTGTGTTCCCAAGGTGTCCCACGGTTTCTTGAGAAACCGGTTCGCTTGCTTGCCATGACCAATCTTTCTCGCAAATCTACCACGGCAGGGATTTTAGTTTAGGGTCTCCATTGGGTCCGCCATTCACGTGGGACCGTAGCAAGGACCAAAAGGTCGGGGGGGGCAAGAGAAGCTCCTTAAGAAGTGCTCCAGAGTCTTCTGGGTGCCACGCTCGAGAGACCCGCGTTCCCCAGGAAGAAGCCCTTGTGATGGGGCGCCATCCCGAAAACGTTTGGTCAGGGTGGAAGGATGCTGTTGTTATTGGGGAGAGGGGCCTGCCAAACGGGTGGGTGAGGAACGGATACGCTGGCTGACTCCTGACTCTTGATCCTTTTCCCCTCCTCTTTAGATGGAGAGGAGCCCTCACATTTCCTGGCTCTTCCATTTCCGCATTGTCTGTAAGTACCATCCGCCTCCCCTAGGGCTTTTCCTCGGGTTCAGTCGTTCCTTTCTTCAGCCGCTGATTCACAGACGCCAGCCTTGTGTCACCAACGATGGCTCTCGCACACTGTGTTCGGTGCATATACAGGCATTCTGCAACCCTGTAGCAGAACATCTCGTTACATTCCTGAGTCTCACTGAATGCAGTGTGGAGTATTCCTATTCAGGATGCCAGCCAGCCGAGCTCTTGCCAAACGAGATTCTGTTCCACTACAACCTATGTTCTACATTTATTTAATAATCACTGGGTTGTACAGAAGGGCCTTTTTGCCTTCTTAATTCCGCTGTCCGCCCCGCCGCTCCCCCCCAGCAAAAGCACTTGTGTAATCCTTGGGATTTCCACCCCAATAAGCTGATACTTCCATAATCATTCCCGAGCTTCTGTGGTGGGTCCTGATCATCTTCTAGTTAAGGACTGTCTTCAACCGAAAAGGAGTTTCTCCATGCCTCTGATCTTATAGTGGATAGGTAGCACCAGGCGGTGGTTTGAAGGGTACCCTCAGATTTTCAGTTCCGCTCTCCTTGGCACTGAATTTAGACAAGCTTGGTGTACAGCCTACATGTTCTCCCCCCCCCCTTATTTACATGGACAGTTAAGAGAATGCAGCCTGGCGACCACATGGGGTTGCAGCCTGTGATCCACAGAGGAAGCCACGGGCTTGACTTTGTAAGATCCGAACGGGGCTGTGAAGGTCAAGCCCTTTTGGAGGCGAGCGTGCGCAAAATCCTGTTGCGTACATAGTGCACACCTTCCCATTGTCTGCCAGTGTAAAGGGCAAGCGCATGCGTGCTCATGTGTTTGTGAATGGTTTAGCATATGTGGGCGGACCTCTGTGCGTTAGTAGTTCCATGCAAGGCAAAAATCCTCAAGACCTGAAAATGGCTTCCAAATGATCTTTAAAATACCTGTATATTACTAGGGTCTCTGCTAGTTTGAGCAGGACAGCAGTGCCAGCAGGTGACCCACAGATGCTGTTGCAGTCTGGATTGGGTGTTGGAAATACAGTGGTGCCTCGTATAGCGACAATAATTCGTGCAGCAAAAATCGCTGCAAAGCGATTTCGTCACTATGCGATATTAAAAAGCCCATAGGAATGCATTGAAACCCCTTCAATGCGTTCCTTTGAGCTTCAGACTCACCTTTAAGCGAAAATCCTCCATACGGCGGCCATTTTCGCTGCCTGGTAAGCGAGGAATCCATCCCAGAAAACAGCGGGCGGCCATTTTTTTTACCCGGTGACCATTTTGAAACTGCCGATCAGCTGTTAAAAAATCATCACTTTGCGATGATCGGTAAGCGAAACGGTACCAATCATCGCAAAGCGATTTTTCCCTATTAAAAACATCGCAAAAAGTTAAACGCTATGCAATTTCATCGTTAAACAGGGCGCCCGTTAAGCGAGGCACCACTGTACTTGGTTTAAACTAATGGAAAGCTTCCTGTCCTTCAGGTGCTGAGGTTGTGGGATCGCCATTTGTCCTAGGGAACCATCCTTCAGGTGGTTCGGATCCCAGCCGTGGCGATCTGGCAGCAATTATTTTACTTCTAAAGCCCCTGGGGAGCTTTGCAGCAGGAAAGGAGCGGAGATGGGAAGCTTTCCATCAGTTTAAAGTAAATAGATTCAGGGTCCAATCTAGGCTACACAACGTAAATGTACAGAACAGGATTTAGCCCTATGAATTTGGAAGCAAATTGACAGTACAGTAGGACCCCCCTCCCCCGGGATCAGTATCCTCTGGTTTATGTTTCTGCTGCCTGGAAATACTACAAAGAAAAAACACTCAGAAATACATATATCTATTTCCAGGGTGTATTTTCTGGCCACTACAGGGAGTCAGAAACCATGCCACTTGTCACGTTGGATCCTTTTTGCCCTCTGCAGGGTTGCTTGGGACCGATGCATACTGGGGTCCTGCTGTTGGCAGTGACACCGACAACCCCAGTGATGGGGAAACCTGGGGCCTCGATAACATGGGATTCCAACTCTCGACAGGACCTGCCCACTCAGCTTTTGTGCCCAGTGTTCGGGAATGATCTCGTGCCCTCTGTACATTCTTTTTCCCAGGGGAAATGTGGGGGTTTGAAGTGTTCTCTGTAGGCGCTGCGAATGCCCAGTGGGCAGAGCGGCAGGTGGTGAAAGGGGCACACACCCCCACCGGTGTGCTGCTTCTCACGCACCACCCTTCCCTCGCTCGTCCGTCCTCCCCTGATGGTCTTCCTCTTTTGTAGCTCTGATGGTTCTCCTGGGCATCCTGGACTTCCTGTTCGTCAGCCACGCCTACCACAGCATCCTCACGAGGGGGGCCTCTGTCCAGCTGGTCTTTGGCTTTGAGGTGAGGAAGTGCGGCGGCTGGAGCATCCTCAAAGGGCTCCAGCAGCCTTCGGTGGAACCCTCAGGCGGCAAAGAGTCGGGGCCCGTGGGAGCCTGGCCACTGTCCCAGGGGCAGCAGAGCCTGGAAGGATGGCGTGGGTGTCGCCTCCCCAGGCATTGAGTTCCTTCCCCCCCCCCTTTGGAGACTCTTCCGTGTCTCCATTCTGTTCAGCGGCCCAACTGCTGTGGAGGGAATTGCACCACTGTTGCCCGATGCCCTCTTGTTGGTCGTTGGCCGGAAGGAGGTGCACGTGCAACATTGCACAGGCCGCCTCCTGCACGAGTGGGTTGATCAGCTTGCGGCAGATCCCTGCAGCCTGACGGCCTTCCCTCCAGGGCCAAGTGCGAAGCTGGGTACAGTATGTCGGCGAAGGAGCAGGAGGGGAGGGGCTCTCTGCTCTTCCTTCTCTTGCCCACTTGGCTTTTACACTGGCCATGGGGGAAGGGAAAGGGAGGAAAAATCCCTTTTGCAGCCAGCAGGGACGATACTGTGGACGGGCAAAGGAGAAAACGAGCACTCTCTTTCTCCTCTGCTAGCCGCCTGCATTTCTACCCTATGGATTATTTTGTACTTCCTGCTTATTACCCATGTGGTGCTCTGGTCTTGTGAATATCATGGGAGTACTTTCTTGCAGGTACAATAGGACTCCCTTATCTGTGGGAGCAGTATCCGCTGATTCACTTATCCACGGTCTGAAAATATTAAAAGGAAAAAAAACCCAAAATACATAGAGTGGTGCCTCGCAAGATGAGCGCCCCGTTTGACAACAAAATCGCATTATGATGAACTTTTAGCATTCGCAAAAGCGATCGCTTTACCATGATTTCAATGGGGGAATTTCGCTTTGCGATGATCGGTTCCCTGCTTCGGGAACCGATTCTTGCAAAATGACAATTTTCGGCCAGCTGATCGGCGGGTTCAAAATGGCCGCCGGCTTAAAAAAAAATGGCTCCCTGCTCTTTTCTGGGACGGATTCCTCGCTGCACGGGCAGCGAAAATGGCTGCGCTATGGAGGATCATCGCTGGACTCTGAGTTTTAAGCCCATAGGAACCCATTAATCGGGTTTTAATGCGTTTCTGTGGGCTTTTTTGTTTCGCATTATGACATTTTCTTTCTACAGTGATTTCGCTGGAACGAATTAACGTCGTAATGCGAGGCACCACTGTATTTCTACCAATGAAATTACCAGAACTGGCCACTTGAGCGAGCCAGAAATCATGCTGTGTATAGTATTCACTATTATAATAGCGTTTGCTCTAATCTGCATTTTTTTAAGCATCTGCAGAGGAGATCGGGACCGATTCCTCATAAATAAGAGGATTCTACAGGAAATATCCTTTGGGGGCCTTGGTAGCAGATCTCTTGCTTCAACTGTTGCTCAGTGAGCTGATGCGGAGCAGAATACCCTGTGTGTATTCATGGGAAGGAGACCCTTAGCAATGGCTCATATGGGCTCCAGTGCAGAGCAGGGCTAAGAAGCATGTTTGAAATGGCTGATTAAGAGTCTGAAGTTCAGGCTGACATCTGCCCAGTAAAAGAGCAATAAAGGAGCCACTGATTGCCGACGGCATAGAAGACCATATTTTCTAGCCGGTTAAGGCTTAAAATTCCGGGCAAGTTGTAAATCTTTTCAGCTTCTAGACAGAATCAGGCCAACGTCTGGAAGAGTGACAGGAGCGTTTCCATTCTGACCCTTCTGGCCTTGGCCCACGACAGAATCTTACACTTAGGGAGGAACGCTAGTCGTGCCAGAGCAGAAACAGGGAACATGTGACACCCCTCCCCTCTCCTGGCTGGGAATTCCCAAATACCTTCCTCCTGTTGCTGACTGGGGGTGATGGAAGTCCTAGACCAGCAGCGTTGGAAGGGCTCTCCTGGGGATTGTAGTAGAGATTTTCATAACATCCACAAGGTCCGATGGTGTGCTCTCCCACTCCCACGAGTCCTTTTAGCGGGAAGCCCTTAGTTTTCCTGTTACTAGGAAAGGGAGGCCCTCGTTCATGAGAAACAGCATAACGGCTCCCTCTTCCAGGCAGTTCACTTGGGGGACCCCCCCCTCCCCGCGGCTTGTTTCCACAGTATGCCATCCTGATGACAATGGTGCTCACGATCTTCATCAAATACATCCTGCATTCCATCGATCTGCAGAGCGAGAATCCCTGGGACAACAAGGCCGTATACATGCTGTACACGGAGCTCTTCACAGGTAAGGGGTTCAGCCAAGAGGTGGATCCCTCTGTGGCTAGATGCTTGGAGGGATCTTTTGCTAGCTGGGGATCCATTTGGTCCCAAGACTGAGCACCGTGGTGAGCTTCCTGCAGCTGCTCCTCTTTGCTTTCCGTGAGCTTAACGGGGGACAGAGTGCAGGAGCCAAACCTTGACACTATCCTCTCCTCTCTTCTCCCCAGGTTTCATCAAGGTCCTCCTGTACGTGGCTTTCATGACCATTATGATCAAGGTGCACACCTTCCCGCTGTTCGCCATCCGGCCCATGTATCTCGCGATGAGGTGAGGTTAAGGGACGGGGCAAGTGTGCTCCTGAGTTTGCGAGGGGTTTTGTCTGCCTGGACTGGCCCGGATGTGTAGTTGCAGGGAAGGCACAACCTCCTCTTGACTTGAAAATGACTTCAGAATAATAATTTTTTGAGAACGGTCGCAACAGACCTCCTCTGCATGGGGTTGGGGTACCTTGTGGATTGTTTTAAAAGTCTGTAAATAACTTAGCTCTTTGCAAGCTTGAGCCAAACGACCCAAGTGTCAGTGGGTCTTGTGCTGGAGGACAAATGTAGATCTTAGCTATCTCTGTCTGGCATCCAATACGTGTAATTTGTATGTCTAATACAAGGAGCCTCGTGCAGGGGTTAAATTGCAGCACTGCAGTCAAGACTGCTAACAACCCAGGTCCGATCTCAGCTAGCTGGCTCAAGGTTCGCTCCGCTAGCCATCCATCTGAGGTCAGTAAATTAAATTGCGGGTGTTTGTGCAATGTGCAGCCTGCGTAATTAAATCCTAAACTGTCAGTGACAAGATCCCCTAAAGGATTCTTGCTGCCCGAACAGAGGGGGTCCAGGCATATGTCCACTCCTAATTAGTTGAGCAGAGTCCGGGTGACCCAGCCAGGATGTGACACAAAGCCTTTTCCACAAGTCTGTTCTTGTAAGTAATTAAGAAATTAAAAACAAAGATAAAATCATGAGCTTTGGGGTCTGCCAGGACAAACAAAGCTCAGGCAAGAAATGGACTCTGTAGCATTCTCTGGCCTAACTATTATTCTGGAAGCAGGCTCAGCAGATTTGCTGTTCAAGAGACCGAACTTAGGATTTTAAAATAATTGTTTTATTAGAAAAATAAAGTATTTAGAAATTCTTCAGTTTGCTGCATGAGCAAAGCATAAGTTACATTTCCGCAAGATTTTGCAGTTAGAATCTTAACAAATTCCGTTTAGCAAAAATGAAATAAAATTCTAAAAAAGGGCTTGGAAGGCAGGCAAGGCATAGCCCCCCCTCCTCTATTCTCTCTCTAAACTACATCTTATCAAAAACACTAAAAGCTGGCATCTGGAACTCAATCCTCCATTCTAGTTCCTAATTCTAAGTTAAAGTTCTAAGAACTGAGATCCTGTCCACATCCTCCATTTTCTTCATTGTTGGCACCGCCCTGCTTCTTCTTCGGTCTTCCAAGATGTTAACCAATCGGCGTAAAGGACGGTCTCCCCCTCACCACGCCTCCTTTTCCCACGAGAAATACAGGTGGTGTTTCCCCATCACCTCGTCTCGGGTCTTGATCCAAACAAGGGTGTTGCGTCTTGACTCCGTATCGTCCCAGGACAAAGCTGCTTACATGGAACTTTCCATTCACCTCGTGGAGAAAACATTCTCGGGGCACAAAATCGTGCTAACACAGAACCAATATGGATTCTTTCTACAACTTTCCACAACTACATATCCCATTCATAATTCACATTTTAACCTTAATAATCTATACCATGACATAAGTGCTGTAAGCGCTAAGGAATGGTATATGAGCAGCATGCTTTGCTTTGCAACTCCCCCCCTCTTTTTTATTATTTGTTTGTTTATTTTATTTTGGCTAAGTTTCTTGGCGAGAAGCGTACTGCTGATTTATGGTTGCTGGGGTAGGGGGAGCTGCGTAAATCCTGCCTGCTCGTTGCCATGAAGATTTCCATGCTTTCTGTTATGAGAGCATAAATCAGCTTGTAAAATTAGCTCTGGCCTGTCTGAAAGATCTGCCTTGGGATACGGCTGCTTTTATAGGATGATCCCCTGCCGAATTGGCCACTAGTCTTTTACGTTGGTGAACTGTCACCCATAGATTCCTGGCTCTTTTGTTCTTCTGAGAAAGCGAAGGCACAAGTTCTTTACAGACTTCTAAAAACAATTGACTTAAACCGACTTAATACCAATAAGGAAGATACTTTTAAAAATGAGCATCTGGGGTCACTGAAAGAAGAGGGATATTATTAGTCATAAGGACTGGAATAGGGCCCTTTCCCCATAGATATGGAGGTCCTCCAGTAACTGGAGACAAATCCAATCTGTCCCCTGTCCACCAATAAGGAAGATGCTTTTAAAAATGAGCATCTGGGGTCACTGAAAGAAGAGGGATATTATTAGTCATAAGGACTGGAATAGGGCCCTTTCCCCATAGATATGGAGGTCCTCCAGTACATTTTTTTTTCTGATAGTGTTTCTGAAGGGTTTCTACCCCACATGATTGATCTCGTGGCTGTCTTTGAGGGTTTTTTGATAAATCGGTCGTAAATTTGATTTGCCCCTCTCTGTCTCTCCAGGCAGTTCAAGAAAGCGGTGACCGACGCCATCATGTCCCGCCGGGCGATCCGCAACATGAACACCCTGTAAGTAATTTCTGTGCGGAAGATGGCCCCCAGAGAGTGCTATGTTTTTCTATGTGGTGTGGTGGGAGAGTTCACCAGCTCTAGAGCCAACTGGAGAGGAGGACTAAACAGTAGGACCAAGAAGGCAGAGGGGACATGTCAGGGAAGAATAGCATTTAATCCAGGAATGAGCAATTTGTCATATTGTAAGGCAACATTTTCTGCCACCCCTGCAGTGGACTCGCCCTGCTTCTGAGCTTGCCAAAAAAAATGGAAGAAAATTGACACAGGAAGTAGCCGGATGTTCTGGTTTTGGGGTTTTTTTGTTTCAGAATGCAAATTTGCTGTCCCTGGACGTTTCTGATGTCAGAAAAGACCATTCTTGTCTGAGAAAGGAGTCTTGTTGCAGCCACGCATAGCCAAAATGCCACTATGCATTTGTAATTGACCATTTACCAGCGGGTAGTACTGCCCCATGTAAAGGCGGCAGGACCAAAACCACCCCTGCCGGAAGTGACACCACCTCTGTAATTGGCCAACTCTTCCAGAGGCTTAGGGTTTGGCTGGGCATCCCTTTCTTGTGACTACCGAGTCATTAAGGCTCCAGATCCTGACTCCTCTGCTTCTCCAGTCAAAGAAGGAACCTTTCGCTCAATAGCTGTAACCAGAGCAGAAGGACGTGATTGAGCATCAGGAACTTACCACCGCCATCACATAACCTGTAGAAAAGGCTTTTGTTTTTAAAGTTTCAAGAGAAAAAAAATAGAAAAGCCAAATTTAACAAATGCACGAAAAGAGCAGTTCAGCAAACTCTCTTGAGCGTGCAGGCAGGACAGATTAAGCAAGTGGTAATGAGCTAGCTTTGGATTTCACGGACTCTGGCCGTCGGCCTATGGCCAAGCATACACAGAGTGCATCTCAAGGAATTAGTTATCCAGCAAGAGGGCGCAATGAGGGAAGTGAGGACACAAAGCAGTTGATTTCACCAACCCTCATACCCTTGGAACCCAGAAAGATCGGGATTCTGGCGTGTGTGCCGGTTCTGTCAAGAATGCCGGTTCTTGAGAAAACCGGTGCTCACAATGGAGCTTGTCTCCAAGGTTGCTGTGACAGAGATTGTACTAAGACCACAGTTTAGGCCCCACAAAGCGGAAGTGGTTTCTTCACGGGGACACCCAAGACCCTCAAAAAGGCTGGGGGTGGGTGGATAGCATGTGTCCTGCATCCTGTCCTTTGCCCCCCCTCTCCATTGTAAGCACTGAGAGTTGTGTGGCATCTGAATGCCTGGTTTCATTGCACCCCACTCTTTCTGTGAAACATTATTCCCAGTTGAGGAGCTCAAACTATGAGAGATGGGCACAAACTATCGGTTTGGTGGTTCCGGTTCGCTTCCCGGCCAGACAGATCTTTGGCAGTTCTCAGCCCTGCCTCCCCCAGCAGCCGACCACTCAAAGGTAGTGCCTGGAGAAGGTGGGGCCCTGCCAGAGGAGGCGGGGCTTGGAAATGCGGAACACCGCTTGGACCGACGAACTGGTTCGTGCCTGTAGCGGATAGCCCAGATGTCACCTGGCCGTCACTGTGGGACCTTGATGGGCGAGCCAATAGAGAGACCGGAAGGCGGGGCCAGAGAAGAGTTTTGGGGGTCAGGTGAAGGAGAGGAGTGCTGGAAAGAGGGTTAGAGAGCTGTTGGCTTGGGAATTGGACCGGGGGCGGGGGGCAGAGATAGATGGATAGATGGATGGATAGATGGATAGATAGATAGAGTTAAAAAGGGTGATTGGAATGAACCGAACCTTGATTAATATAGGTGATTCGCTTTGTGATTTACACTGCAATTTCCAACTGATAATTAACCCCACCCTGTTCAATAAACTGTGTTTGGCAGCGTAAGTGTCCAGTGTTTAATTGACATCTGGTGGCAGCGTGAAGAGGAGAAAGGAATGTGAGCCTTTGTGAGGACGAAATAAAACAGGGGCTGCAAGGGCGAGTGCCGCAGTGCCCGTCTCTAATACCAGATTTCTGCCCTGTCTTGTTTCCTTCACCTGGGAAAGTTTCACAACTCCCTGTGCGGACTTGATGACGTGTCCCCTTTCTTCCTCTCAGGTACCCCGATGCCACTCCGGAAGAGCTGCATGCGATGGACAACGTGTGCATTATTTGCCGGGAAGAGATGGTGACGGGAGCGAAACGCCTCCCTTGTAATCACATCTTCCACACCAGGTGGGAAGAATCTTGAAGGAGAGCCTGGCTTTTCTTTCTTCCTTCCTTCCATTTATCATAGGCACCTTGACGCAGAAGGGGGGGACCGGCTGTAGCTGTCCCAAGTCTCGGTGGTGAAAGAGGGAGAGGGGGGCGGGCCTTCCACAGCCATTTTCCCGGGATCTTTGGATCAAAGAAGCTCAGAGCGTAACCCCCTCATATCAGCTGGTCCTAAGGAGTCAGTATTGTCTACTGCGTATTGTCCTAACCTTTTTAAAGTCACAGGGATGTTGAGAAGGGGAAGGTCAGCCAAGCCAGAGAGAGCTGTGTTTGCCACCTTGAGCTCGCTAACAGAAGGGTGGGATGTGTAAATAAATAGTTAATAGAACAGTTCCTGAACAATTAGCTCTTGACATCCCAGTCGCTGCCGGCAGAGTGTGGTTCTTTGGGCGAGTGTCGGATTCCAGCTGCCCTCCTCCTTCACCACTGGCAGTGCTGCCGTGACTCGCCAGCCTCTGGAGGGTCACATGTTTCTCTCTCTTTCTTTTCCTTTCTGTCCCATTGAGCCCTGTTGGAATCCCCAGAACAGAGATGAGGGAATAGGACCAGGCTTTGTCGCCCTTGGAGAAGGGGTAAGGCTGGGACCATGGCCCAAGTGTGAGCCGGGGCATCACCACGATTAGAAAAGTTGGGCTGGCCATAGAGTTTCCCGGTTCTCATTCTTATTTATTTATTTACAGTGGTGCCTCGCTTAACGATTGCCTCGTTAAACTACAAACCGCTATACGATGACTGTTTTGCGATCGCAAAATGATGTTTTAATAGGGAAAATTCAGTTCCCGATGATCGGTTCCCTGCTTCGGGAACCGATTTTTCGCTAGACGACGTTTTTAAAACAGCTGATCGGCGGCTTCAAAATGGCTGCCCGCTGTGTAAAATGGCTCGCTGCTGTGTTTTTGGACGGATTCCTCGCTTTACAGGCACCGAAAATGGCCGCCCCTGTGGAGAATCTACGCTGGACAGTGAGTTATTCAGGCCATTGGAACACATTGAATGAGTTTTCAGTGCATTTCAGTGGGATTTCGTATTTCGCTTAACGAGGATTTCACTCTACAGTGATTTTGCTGGAACGGATTATCTTCGTTAAGTGAGGCACCACTGTATTTACTTGATTTCTATACAGCCCTATTCGTGCAGAGCCCTATTCTAGGTGCTTGACAACAGTAGATAAAAATACAGGACTGAACAGATATACCACCCCTATTCTAGGTGCTTGATAACAGTAGATAAAAATACAGGACTGAACAGTAAGTCCGCAGCAATTGAAACGTTAAAAAGAAAGAAAGAGCAAGCTGCACCGAGGACAGTTACGTGAATGAGGGCAGGGCAGGGAAGGTCACTGTTGGGGGGGAAAAACCCTGAAAAGCAGTGGATTTGAGTTGTCTTCTGAATGTTAACCGGGGCGGGGGCAAGTGTAGTTGTGTCGGGAGCAGTTCCACAACATTGGAGCCGCTGCAAGGAAGGCCCGACCTCTTGTGGACGGCTTCCGGGCTTCCTTTGGGGGTGTGTGTGACCCTGAGGAGCTTAGCCTGGGAAGATCGAGTCGGTCATTGGGGAGAGGCATTGACCCATGAAATCCACGGACGTGTTCCTCTCAGCCTGGGCTACTTCAGAGGGTTGTGAGGATTAAGTGAAGCAAAACATAGTGTTTTCTTGATTTGATGTGCAGGGACCTTGAGCCACGTGGTGCTTATTCTGAGGGTGGTTCCCTTTCTTCTTTCCTTAGCTGCCTGCGGTCGTGGTTCCAGCGCCAGCAGACTTGCCCTACCTGTCGGATGGACGTTCTCCGGGCCTCCGTCCCCACGCAGTCTCAGACCCCCCCGGAGCAGCAGGAAGGAGGGCCGCAGCAACAGCCCCCACACCAGACCCCATTGATACCCCAGCCCCCAAACTGTGAGTCTTCTTTAGGAGTCGCTAAGCGCAGTGTCCCAAATAAGTTTCCCGTGAATCCCAGCGAGGTTGTTTTTGCCACCAGGAAATCCCCGAGTAACCACATTCATTTCCCCAGATTACCAAAAGGAGAAGATTTTTTTTTTGAAAAACGACCCTATGGGGTTCCTGCAAATTTCAAGAAGGGTGTAACTATTCCTAGAAGTGGGCAAAACTAAAGTGTGGGGCGAAGAGAAAGAAAGAACAAGCAAAATATTGTGTATCCCTTTAAAATTTAAGAGATCGAAAGATTTAAAGAATAAACTCGGTCCAAGAAATAGCTGTTAACATTTCCATGGCATCTGGGCTTATCACCCTGACCAGAACCTGCTAATTCAAGTAATTAACATTGTCCATCCGTTTGCTTGTTTTGCTTTTATGCTTCTTTTCTCCCTGCAGGTAGTTCACAATCAGTTATAGTCAGCAGTAAAAAGACTGCCAGAAGGAGCACTAACAAGCAATGAAACGTAGATCAGTATTAAAGTCACCATTAAAGGCAATATTAAAAACATCTTTAAAATTTCTACACTCACTAGTTGCAGCGTTCTTTTTTTTTTTTAAACCTCACCATTTAAAAGCCTGTCTGAAAAGGAAGTTAGACACTTCCTTTCCTGCGTTAATGAACCATTTCACTTAGTGTATTATCTATATCATTACCTGGTCGCGAGGATAATATCTATTTACGTGGCACACACAAGATACAGAGAAATACTTGCACGTGTCTAGATGTCTGAGGAAGTGGATGTGGGTTACCCCAGCTCACGTTGCAATAGTTCTCGGATGCTTCTGTTCAACAAGCACCTTGTAACTCGAACGGTTCCCTCAAATACAGTGGTGCCCCGCATAGCAACGTTAATCCGTTCCAGGAAAAACGTCGCTATCCGAAAACCTCGCTATGCGGGGGGGGGGAACCCCATAGGAACGCATTAAACTCCGCTTAATGCGTTCCTATAGGGACAAAACTCACCGCTAAGCGGGAATCCTCAATCCGGCCGGCATTTTCGCCACCTCGGTAAGCGAGGAATCGGCGCGAAAACGCTGCAGGCGGCCATTTTCTTCTTCCGGTGGCCATTTTGGAACCGCCGATCAGCTGTTCCAAAACATCGCAATGCGAAGATCAGTAAGCAAAACGCTTACCGATCATCGCAATGCGATGTTTACCCTATTCAGAACATCGCAATGTGATCGGTTTTTTGATCGCAAAAACGTGTCACTATGCGGATTCGTCGTTAAACGTTAGACTGTACGTCTATTATTTCCTGTAATAGCAGACTTGTAATTAGACAAGATACTTTTATGGCAGAAAACGAGAAACGCACCTGCCAGAAACTGGCTCAGCCCCCGCCAATTGAAAGCGTTACGTTCAACTTTTTCTATCGACTCATCCCTCTTTAGTTGCTTTATATTTTTGTTTCGCTCTGTGAGAATGCTTTGGTGCCCGGGAGTTGGCCTGTTTTCCTCTTGGCAGGCTCTCCCTTACTGTGGCCTTTTGAGCTGCGTCCGCATGGGGCGCCCTGACACTCCTTGATCCTCAGGGCCTCGTCTCTCTTTGTTTTTCTGCAGTTCCGCAAGGCATCCTGCCCCCCTTCCCGCCGGGGATGTTCCCGCTGTGGCCCCCCATCGCTCCGTTCCCTCCCGTGCCGGGCGTCCAGCCACCCAACAACACGGACGGTGCTTCAGCAGCCTCGCCTTCTACATCCGGAACACAAACAGCGGGTAAGCGAGGCAGCATGTTTCCCTTCCCTGCTGTAGGGCATTATCTGTTCTGTCCGGACGGTTGCTCTCCTTGAAACACACACACACCGTCTTGATGCCTTTTCTGCCATTGAGAAGAAATTCCACACGGACATTTCCTCCCCAATGCGCGTTGCCTTCACTGTCCCCTTTCCTGACCATCACGGGAAAGCCCTGATCCTCTTTTCTTACCGTTCCTACCTGAGATGCTAGAGAAAAATGTTCTTCTCTACAGAACAACATTCACACTACATCTTCCAAGAGGGGTGGGCTGCTAATTCTCTGTTCCAGTGGAAATATGGAGGGATGAACATCTGGCTTAGCTTTATGGCCCGTAGGGAATGCGTCTCAAATGACCGGTGTAAGAGGCAGGCAGCCTCCCAGAATCTGGGAGGTGAATAAACAAGTATCCACAGAATGCAGCACTGGAGGCAGAATCAGGATTTCTGGATTTGCTGTGAACCTGTGCCACAAGCGTGACATCCGTCTCTTCTCCTGCAGGCGCCACAAGGCCCAGCGGTGATTCGGCCTCTGCGTCGGACACGACTGCTTCGACAGGAGCCGGGCCAGGTTTTCCCTTCCCTCCCGCATGGATGGGGATGCCCTTCCCACCTCTCTTTGGTAAGTCCGGGACAGAAGTTGAAAAGTTAGCATCTCAATGCAATCAGTTGCCGGGGGGTGGTGGTTTGGGTCATAGAAGCAACTTGCCATCATTTTTCTTCTTGAGGTGATGGATTAAGATGTCTGTTTTGCTCATTACCATAGAACCCCCTTATCTGCGCGATAAGTATCTACTGATTCATTTATCCGCAGTCTAAAAATATCAAAAGAAAGTACAGTGATGCCCCGCAAGACGGGCGCTCTGTTTAACGACGAAACTGCTTGACGTTGATGTTTTTGCGATCGCAAAAGTGATCGCAGAACAATGTTCCCTATGGGGGAATTTCGCTTTGCGATGATTGGTTCCTTGCTTCGGGCCACTGTTTGCTGGGACGGATGCCTCGCTGCACAGGCAGCGAAAATGGCCACGCTATGGACGGTGAGTTTCCAGCCCATAGAAACGCATTAACCGTGTTTTAATGCGTTTCTATGGGCTTTTTAAAATCGCTTTACGACGTTTTCGTTCTACAGTGATTTCACTGGAACGAATTAGCGTCATAATGCGAGGCACCACTGTATATATTTCTAAAGATGAAGTTGCCAGAACTGGCAGCTAGAGACTATGCTATGTATGAAGGGGTGCTGATAAGTATCGAGCCTTTCCCAGAAAAAAAATTGAGCTAGGAAGCTGTAACTGCCACACTATTATTCTACACAATTCCCCCAGGAAGCCAGTGTGCTTGTGACATCTGTCCTGCAGCTTCTCGAGTCCCTGCAAATAAAATTCTTCCGACTGCTTGTGTAACCACTCATTTGCAGCATTCGTTGCCTCCAGAACACTCCCAAATCGTTGTCCCTTTAGATGTTTTTTGAGTTTGAGGAACAGATGATAGTCAGAAGGACTATACTTTGTGACATTTCATCATCAATCTGCTTTGCACCTTTCCCTTGGAGAAACAGGAACTTGATTATGGTCTTACGCTCTTCCACATTGAACTTTTCTGGAGGTGCCGCCATGTTCACTTTGGACCGGAAAATGAAAGATAAGTTAAAATCATAGGTAGTTGATTTTTGCATCGTTGAATATAGACAAATTGGCCAATATACCCTGCAATTTATAGCTTCCTGGCTCAGTTTTTTTTTTCTGGGTGAGGCTCAGTGCTTATCGGCACCCCCTCGTATAGCGATTGCTATTAAAATAGTGTTTGCTATAACCTGTGTTTTTCCACAAGGAGGGGCTTGGAACTGATTTTCTGTGGGCACAAGCAGTCCTCCTGTACTTTGCTGACTTGTGCGGGAGGGACTTATGGCTGGCAGGAGAATGGCGGAGTTCAAAATTCCCATTACATGCTTCTAAAAGGGTTCTCCCTTAAAAAAAGTAATTTTTTTTTTTTTGAAAATCACTTGAAAATGTTGCTTTCTCTAGCCGTAAAATAGCTTCAGTTTTGCTGTTCTGCTACTTTTCCAGCGTTGCTTCTTTCACCTTTACGCTCAAAACCTGTGCATCTCAGGCTGGGTGATTGAGGATGCTTAACCCCAGGAAAGTCCGAGAAGGAGCAAACGGGGAAACGGGCCTTTTTGGTGGCTGCTCCCCTGCTTTTGTATTGAGCTGCTGCCCAAAATTCCACCTGGCCCCCCTTCCCTCGAGATTTTTAAGAAATCCTTTTTTTAAAAAAAACTTCTATTTCGACACATTTTTCTGGCCACCCCACCCTAATAACTGTCCTGAGAATGTAGACTATACATTTAGCATCTAAAACCGCCGCCTGACTTTAAATTAGTTTCAACTGTTGTTGAAATTCTATATCATATTGTTTATTGTTGTACACCCCAGATGGGTGTTTTAGAAGTTTAAAAATTAATTAAGTTTTTACCTTCATCTACCTTGAACACAAGAGGCTAGAAGTGCAGTTCTTCCACTCAGTCCTGAAATTCCGCGAATTACAGTGGATCCTTGACTTACAGACGGCTCGACTTACAGACTTTTCGAGTTACAGACTTCTCTGGCCGCAAAATTTAG